AAAAAAAATAAATAAATATATATATATATATATATATATATATATATATATATATATATATATATATATAATAGTCAACATATTCACGAGGCTGCTGCTGCTGCTGCTGCTGCTGCTGCAGGAGAGATGATGGTGCTGCAGAGGTATTCAAGGTCGATGAAAGAAAGAGAATAATTTCTGCTGCTGCAGGTGAGCTGCAGCAGCACTGCAGCAGCAGCAGCAGCGACAGCAGCAGCAACAGCAGCAGCAACAGCAGCAGCAAGAGCAGCAGCAACAGCAGCAGCAGCGAGTTTACCTTCAGTGTTGTTTCGCTTGGTGAGGGGAGAGAGAGAAGAGCCCCCAGGGTACGGGCCTCAAGAAAAGCATAAGAAGGAGAAGATATAGCTGGCAGCATTTCCCCCAGTGTCCGCTGCTGCTGCTGCTGCTGCTGCTGCTGTTGCTGCTGCTGCTGCTGTTGCTGCTGCTGCATGAGCTGCAGGGATCCCCGGCGCGAACCAGCAGCAGCAGCAGCAGCAGCAGCAACCCCACCAGCAGCACCACCATAACCACCAGCAACCCCACCATTTCCTCTTTCTTTAATTTCCTGCATCATTCGCAGCGTTCTCGGTGACGGCGGCATCTGCAGCCCGAGCTCATCAGCATCATCGTCAGCAACAGAAGAAGCAGCAGAAGCTGTGCGGCTTCTTGCTGCTGCTGCTGCTGCTGCAGCAGCAGCAGCTGCTGCTGCTGCTCCTGCTGATGATGATGTGAAGACAGGACGAGCAGCACCATGAGCAGCAACTGCAGCAAACTGGAAAGGAGGTACAGCTGCAGCAGCACTTGCTGCTGCTGCTGCTGCTGCTGCTGCTGCTGCTGAGGGAGACGCAGGGTGTAAAGAAGAAATGCAAGAAATAGGAGTGGCTGAGGGGGGGGGGAGGTTGAGCTATCGAGGGCAGAGCAGTATCCTATGCTGCTGCTGTACAGGCTCCTGTCGCTCTCGCTGCTGCTGCTCCTGCTGCTGCTGCTGCTGCTGCTGCTCCTGCTGCTGCTCCTGCTGCTGCTGCTACTGCTGCTGCTGCTGCTGCTGATGTATCGGCGTCTATAGAGATGGGTGTGCATGTAGGGCTCGTCAGCTGTTGACTCTGTAACAACAGCAGCAGCAGCAGCTGCTGCTGCTGCTGCAACTGCTGCAGCTTTTTTTGCTGCTGCAGCAGCAACATGTTTGCTGCTCTGCAGCAGCAGCGGCGCCTTGCTGCTGACCTGACGAGCCAACGAAGACACCCCCCCCAAAGCAGAAGAACTAAAAGCAGCAAGGGAACGGCTCCCCGGCTTGAATATGTCTTGGTTATAAACTCGGTATCTACCACCACCTGCTGCTGCTGCTGCTGCTGCTGCTGCTGCTGGTGCTGCTGGTGATGCTGTTGCTGCTGGTGTTGCTGCAGCAGCAGCAGCTGCTGCTGCTGCTGCTGGTTGTGTTGCTGGTAGGGGTTTTGCCCTCATAGGAATGACGTGGCGAGGCGGTGCAGCAGCAGACACAGAGCCTTGCTTAAACTCAATACTTGCTGCTGCTGCTGCTGCTGTTGCTGCTGCTGCTGCTGCTGTAGCAGCCTGCTGCGTCTCTGGCTGTCTCTTCGGCCTCGCAGCTGTGGAAGGGGCATCTGTATCTTCTGCTGCAGCCACAGCAGCAGCAGCTGCTGCTGCTGCTGTTTCTGCTGCTGCTGAGAGGTGCAGATGCTGCCTCTGGTGGAGAGGCACAGACGTCTGCCGTGGGCACACTGAAGTGACAGCCGGTCTACCTTGCTGCAGCGTGTTGCTGCTGCTGCTGCTGCTGTTGCTGCTGCTGCTGCTGCTGCTGTTGCTGCTGCTGCTGTTAAAGAGATGCTGGGCATTGCTGGTTGAGAGACTTGTTAAACAGCTGTAGGACAAAGATTCCGAAGCCTTCGGCATCGGCAAGCTGCTGCTGCTGCTGTTGCTGCTGCTGCTGCTGCTGCCGCTGCTGCTGTCGCTGTTGGTGCTGCTGCTGCTGTATTCGGCAGAGCAGCGGGAAATACCGCTTCTCCTGTGAATGTATTCAGGAGCAGAGGCAGCAGCAGCAGCTGCAGAAGCAGCAGAAGCAGCGGGAGTGCTTATCTTGTCATTCTCTCTGCTGTATAGATCCTTATGCTGCTGCTGCTGCTGGTGTTGCTGCTGCTGCTGCTGCTGCACACCTGAGAGATCCTGGAGGTAAAAAGCTGCGCTTTTGTACCGACGTGCAGGAACGTGATGCACCATGCATTCGCTGCTGCTGCTGCTGTTGTTTTTGCTGCTGCCGCTGCTGGTGCTGCTGGTGCTGCTGTTGCTGCTGGTGCTGCTGCTGCCGTTGCGGCTGCTGCTACCGTTGCAGCTGCTGCTTTTGTTGCTGTTTTCATTTCCAAATGCAACCCAAGGCCCAAACATTGTTTTGTCTGGCTGTGTACATCGTTGTGCTGCCTGAGCCCCCCTGAGTCCGCCGCCGACTGCTGCTGCAGCTGGTGTTTCAGCAGCAAGAAGAGCAGGGGGCCCCTGGAGGGGCCCCCGCGTTGAGATCTGTACCCTTTGGTATTCTCTTTCCGTCATCACTGAGAGAAAATACAGAACTCATGCAGCCTCCTGCGTTCGGTTCTGCTGCTGCAGCAGAATCGATTGCCACCCCGCTGTGTAGGCTGAGGGGGAGGGGGGGACCCTCTGGCCGGTGGAACATCTATTTGTTGTGGAAATATGAAAAGACAAAGAGTTAATGCATTGAAATAAAAAGAAAGAAACAACTTATACCGATAGGGAGAGCAGCGAGCTGCTGGCTGCCTCTGGCTGGACCTTCGTGCCGCTGCAGCGGCCCAGCGATTGAGAGCATAAATTGGGGTTTCTTGGGTTTATAAATGAGGAAATTTAAAATTCAAGTATTTTGAATTCAATTCAACCGAAGATCATCGCATATTCCCCAGCAGGGTGCGGATATTCAGGCGCCTCTGTCGGGGGTGAGCCGGGCTGCAGCTGAGGCTGCGTCTGATACCTTCTGCTGCGGTCTTGTGTGAGCAGAAGAAGTGAAGTTTTGGCGTTTGTCTATTTGAAATTATAAATATAAACCTTTTTTCTTTGTTATAGAATAATATTTAAAAGAAAAGGAGCCAGGCAAGCCATTGGATACACGCTATACTGCAACGAAACCGCCACCACCATCTCGTCCGCTAGACAGTTCAGATGCTTCTATACAAAAAAAAGAACTTTTGGTTGAATATATTCATCCTTCTAGTGTAAAATAAATGAGTATACATCAATAGACCTAGATGCTCTCGCTTTCTTAGTTCCTTATCCTCTCTGTCGCTGTTCACTCGCCTCAAGCCCGTTCATATATATACAAACTTCTTCTCTTTAGTATTCTCTTCTGAGTAGTGACAGAGCCACAAGGCAGTTTGTTTTCCGTGTGTAAGCTTTGTATGATACCGCCTCCTTCTCTTGGTTTTCTTTCATCTCACGCGGCCTCGCTGCAGTACCTGCACGTGTATGCTCTCACCTGGTGGATGCATAACCATACTATATAAATATACGTGTAAAAAAAGGAAAAAGGAAGGGGTATACAGTGAGGAGACTTCATGATAAAGTGTCTTCGTTCTTTCTCTCTTCTTCTAAGAACAAAACAAAGTCGATTGTGAGGCCTTTCCTCTCGTACACTCTACCCCGGGATGACCCCCACTCTATCAATCTAAAGAAAGTAATAAAATTTCAAGCAGAAGGCGAAATACTTGCATCTTTTTTAATATAGAATACAGGACAATCTGATATATATACAGCTTTGCATGCATATGCTCGCAAGCTTCGTTGAAACGTCCTAGGCAAACACCCTGAAAGTACATCGTTATCAGATCTGCCGTAGTAAGGCATAACAAGTGTCACTGAGGCTCTGACTGAGCGAGACTATGCCGAGACACTGCAGGCGCCTGCTGCTTCGGGTTGACAGGCCTGCCGTTAGAGGTCTCTATGAGCAACCTTGCGACAGAGTTTGCGGTAGTTATGAGGTTTGCAACCGGATGCGCACGGTGTTGTCTGTGACGGCTGACGGTGGGAGATATGGCTACAGTGCTTTCTTCCCTTCTCTGTAGCTCCAGGGTTCCTCGGTGAGGGGCTCAGGAAGTCTTGTGGCCTAGACGGAGTGCCTGTGCTAGCTTTACGATTGTACGTCTTCAGCTTGATCGGCCCCAACGGTTCTGAAAAGCTCAGCCAACTCTATCTTTACATTCACGGTGCTCATTTGGGGTATTTCTTAGTTTTCTAACAAATAGTGTCGTACACACCGCCATGCAGGTATAGAGAGCAAAAATATTTGTATCTACCCGTTTCCACGTGGCAGCAGTTACCGGTACGTGTTTTCTTTTGTCATTTTTTTTTCCCATCCTGAATTCGGGGCTACAACCACACGAAATTCACCCGCTCTCAATTGAGCACGCAGCTCAGGACAGCTCGTGATGGGTGCGATAAAAGGAACGACAGGCACAATACGTTTCTTGCGGTTGGTTCACGTATTTATCCTGGCGCTCCTCTTGGGTATTGAATCAAGAAAAGCGTTTAGCAGCTCTCTGTGATGTTCGCCCTCACAGCAGCATGGAACGTGGTCATGCTACGTGGTGGGTTGCCGTGTAGCAGGCAACCCATTGGACGTTGCCTCCATTCCGCACGATAAACAACTCCTTGCGCAGTTATCTGCAGTCCACCTGGACAGTGGAGGGCTGCTGAGTTGCGATTTTGGGGAAGTCTTACTGCTTAAGTACTTTGACTCTAAGGCAGCTCACGAAGGCCCGCAGCTACAGTCGGGGGCTCTCGTTACAGAGTTTATGCAGTATGCTGTAACCAGCTTTCTTGGTCCTAGCGAAGGATCGTTGAGAGCTTTTTGGCAAGTTCTCCTGCACGTTTTGATCGAGCAAAAGCGCGTCATCCATGCATATAGCCGTCCACTTCTCATTGCTTGGGGCAGACGAACCATGGTTCGACTGTCACTGCAGCTTGGCAGCCGCAGCAACGAAGCCAAAGGGTATACGCGCGGAGCCTAGTTTGAGAGTGCAGATATGGAACAAAGTATCATGCTGTCGTCAGTATATGCTCGAATCGAAAGAAACAACACCTCGGCTGGCAAATTAAAATGTTGAAAATACTGTTGAATCCTGCAAGCGGTCAGGTAGTTTAAAAATGCTGAGCATCAGAAACTCCTCTTTTGCCGTGTTTTTGTTGAGGGAGTTGAAGCCGGCGTAGATGGACGAATTCTTTTTCTTTTCTTCGGTAGTGCCGAATTGTTCACAAACGCGCTAGTTGAGCACAACTCTGGGCTGCGTGGCGACTGAGTTCGATGCGGTGCATTGGGTGTCCAAAGGGTGGCTGTCGGGCTGAGCGCTATTTCTTATTCATCATAAATAAAAATTCTTCTTTCAACGGTTCGCGCCATTGGGGTTTCACAGCTGTAGACTGGATGGAATATCACAAACCTGCTGTCATCAAAGACCATCAAGACGGAGCCAACGCGGTCTCTGTCGTTTCTGGCAGCGCTTCTGCACTGCGTTGGAGTCCCCACTCTTCTTTTTCATTGGGATACTGATTCCACTCCTCTTACCGTATACTATACAAGTGCTGTTGAGAGCGTTTTGAGTTGCACTTTTGCATTGCTTGCTGGCGCATAGACAGCAACAGTGTCGGCCGGCGGCTGCATGGACGCGGTCCCCAGGGTCAACCAAAGAGAAATTTGGAGGCAACGTCGTGGTGAACTGATGCAAGGTAGAAATCCTATATGATGCTGAGACGACCCGTCTCTGGTTTGACCCGGCACTACACGTTTCCTATATGTAACATCAGTGGAGTGTCCTCGCAGCAACTGCGCCAACCAGTAAAAGGGTAGGTTGCACCTCCTCGCCATAGCTTCAGATGCCGGATTGAGTAGGGATAGCAACTCCCGAGCACTAGTCCAAACTTGGATAACCAAAGAATTTTCTCAACGCAGAGTTGCTCGTGAGGATGTCGCCACGGTTAGCCCTGTCACTGCGCTGTCTCCACGTTTCACTGGTCGTGCTGTTTGCTCCCCTGGCGAGGCTGCTCGGTGTCAAAGCTCTGGCTCTCAGTTCCTTAGCTCCCTTCATACTTCTGCAGTGTGGAAATATCTGATACGTGTGTTGCAAAAGAAGAAGATGCACTGATCGTATGCCCCGCTGCCTGGCTTTCTGTGTTTAGAATTCGCCAGTTGCTGTGTATTCTCTGTATCATACTTGCTCTCTGCCCTTAATCAGGGACACAAGCGAGCTCTAGTGTAGGTAAAGACTTAAAGCGAGAGTATCTGACTCCCTTCCCCTCTTCTCAAGAATCCTGGGCGTTGAGCTCAGAGGCCTGGGTGTTGGAGGGGAGGATGCAGACTGAAGTGGGGTTGCAGCTGGTGATACTATCCAGCCTCACGCGAGCACACAAAGAAGCTTCAGCGAAGCTTTCTCTGCTGTATACGTCACCCTGAATGTATTTATAAAACGTTTGCATGCGTTTACACGCAACCTACCAAGACCAAGTGAAGGCTCCTGCGCTGACTCATGCTACACACTGAGCGGGCCAGAGACTCACATCCAGCAACTAACCTAGCAGTGCAGTTGGCGCTTGCAAGTATAAACAAATAAATGCCGTTAAGTATAATAAAAGTCATCGATCTTACCTGAGGATCGTCATCAGCTACAATAGAGGCAAAACACTCACAGTCAGAGTCCCCCCAAAGCTGCCTTGCTCCATCTAAAACCTCCTGGATTCCTGCAGACTGCTGCAGTGTTAGTGAGGAGGGGGTGATGCATGCGTAGAGCTGCAGCTCGCGCTGCTGCAGCTCTTTATACAAGACAACCCAGCTGTAAGAGGGGCCCCCGTCGATAGATGCACCAAGGCTGCAGAGGGCCTCCTCAGCAAGCAGCAACCACACTACACACGCGTCTACCTGAGCTTACTGGCTGCAGCCAGAGCATACTGCAGCATGCAGCAAACAGCAACAGGTGAAGCAACGAACACAGATAACAAAGAAAGAGAAGAAAGAGAGGCTTTATAACCCCACAGTGCTGCGAGCGCAGCCGAGCAAATATCTTCATTGTGTAAGAGGTAAATAAATAAATAAATAAATAAATAAAAACAAATAAATAAATAAATAAATAAATAAATTTATACAAGTATATTAACGATGCTCTATAGAACAGATCATCGTCGGCTTAGTGGTGAGACGTGCGGTGTATGGTGAGCAGCAGGCAATGCACTAAGGCTCCTTAAGAGGTATCCAAGAGAAATATAAATAAAAATAAAAATAAAAATATTTATTTTTTTAATATTTTTATTTATTTAAATAATAATATTTACAGCAACAAATACAAACAATATACATCTTTGTATTATGGGGCTTGTATAAGAAGAGCCCGTGCGCAGTGAAGAGGTATCTGTCGTTCTGCTTTTTTTTTTGTTTTTTTTCTCTGTCTCTTTGTCATTATATTTTGAATATAAATATTTATATTTTATTTATTAAAATAAAAAACTAAATTTGTTTTTTATTTGCGTTTATATACAGACGGGATACCGAGACCCTCTCACCAGCTGCATAGACACCGCAGCAGCAACAGTGAGACGGACGAAGCTCAACCACAGAATAAATTCATCATTTTCTTTTATTTTTATTTTATTTTATTTATTTATTTATTTTTTTTTTAATTTATATATTTCACTACAAATTGCAAAACAATTTCACTCAGTTTCTGCCTTTCTGTCCCTCAGCAAGAGCAACAGCCCGATACAAATCATCCTCTTCATCTTTATATATATATATATATATATTATTTATATTTATATATTTTTTTTTATATTTATATACTATATATGTAGTATATAAATACTATATATTAGCTTAACAACGTTTTTTTGTGTTTTTCTTAGTGATAGTTTTATTGATTTTTCTTTTTCTTTTTCTTTTTTTTTTTTTTTCTTTTTTTTATATATTTATTATATCCCCCCTTGACGCAGAAGGGGTTACAATTAGTATTACCTCCAGCTCATCTCTCTTCCTGCAGCAGCAGCAGCAACAGCAGCAACAGCAGCAGCAACAGCAGCATCAGCAGCAACAGCAGCAACACCATCAGCACCAACAGCATCGTCAGCATCACCAGCAGCAGCACCAACAGCAACAGCAGCAACAGCAGCAGCAGGAGGATCACCATCCGGCCCCTCCTTTTTTTTTTTTTTTTTTAANCCTACGATGCCTCCCCGCCCCCGCTCTCGTGTGCATATGTGTCGGTTGCTGCAGTGCGGGCAGAGCTGCCGTTTCTCTCCCTTTACTGACGGCCTCATCGCAGTAGCATCATCTCAGTTGTTTGGTTTAGCTGGTCCTGGTGCAGTAGAGGTATTTTCCTTACACCCTTCTCCCTCTGCTGCTGCTGCTGCTGCTGCTGCTGCTGCTGCTGCTCCTGCTGCTGCTGCTGCTGCTGCTGCTGAGGAGGAAGAGCAGCAGGGGCTGGGGTGTATGCTGCCCCCTACACATATAGAAGCAAAACCTGAAGAGGTGCTGCAGCCGCAGCGTGTTGCTGTTCTCAATCATAAAGAAGCAGTCAACGATGTTGCTTGGTGCGAGATAAACCCCAACATACTGGTGGGGGGGGGAGGGGGGGGAGCCATCACTGTCTGGCGGCTAACAGAAACAAACCCTCCTCCTGCTCCTGCTGCTGCTGCTGCTGCTGCTGCTGCTGCTGCTGCAGCAGGTGGTGGTGGTGGTGGGGGGGGTTTATCTAAAGGTGTACCTGCTGCAGCAGCAGCAGCAGCAGCATCATCTGCAGCACCAGCAGCAACAAAAACAACAGCAGCAGCACCAGCAGCAGCAGCAGCAGCAGCAGCAGCAGCAGCAGGAGGTGGTGGTTTGTCTTCTGGTTTTGGGGGGGAGGCTGTGGCTGTGGTGCGGGCTCACCGGGGAGATATATTGAGCCTTAGTTGGAGTTGTATAAGAAAAGAATATTTTATTTCATCGGGGTTAGATAGTAAAATATATTTATACGATATAAACAGAGCTGCTGCTGCTGCTGCTGCTGCTCCTGCTGCTGCTGCTGCTGCTGCTGCTGGTGGTGCTGGTCCTTGTCTGCTGCTGCAGCACAGCGAGAAACCATCAACCTGCTGCTGCTGCTTCTCTCCTGTTGATGCATCTTTGATTGCTTCTGTAGGAGGAGACGGAAAATTATTAATACATGATATAAGACAAAGAGGGGGTGAGAGAGCTGCCTATACACCCTGGGGTGTACAGGCAGCTCCCTGTGAAACTCTTTCTGTTGAGTGGATGAAACACAGACCCTGGCTGCTGCTTACGGGAGCAGCAGATGGTGTTATATCTTTATTCGACATAAGAAAAGGAA